ATGTTTTGATGGTGCCCTGGTCATTTTGTGATGGTGTCCCGGTTATGTGATGATGGTGTCCAAGGAAGAGATGGTCGATGTGTTGAAAACAGCAATTGTTTCCAGATTTTTCTTTTTGTCCCGGTTTGTATCTTGCTATTGGGGTCTCCAGCTGGGCTAATTTTATTAATAAGCAAATCTTGATAGAATATTTATTAAAATAAAAATAAATTGTCTATATTTTAAAATAAAATATTGTTTATATTTCTTAATCTATTTATTTTTTATAAAATCTTAATATTTTTTTTTAATTTTTTTACGAATCATCTATTATTATTCTATCGGAAGCCTTGTGATCATTACAAAGCAATAAATGTCAATAAATATTTATTTATCTAAAATATTACGTAAAAAATAAATGCTAATTTAACAAATTCGATTTAAAAAATATAATTTATCACTATCAACATATAATATTAAATTTAATTCGAACATATATTCGCAACAAAAAAAATATATCTATATTTTTTCAATGATTTCTCAACAATTCTAATCCGTTTATAAAAATCAAATCCACATAGATTAATATTTATTATTATTTCTCAAATTAAATCAATTCATTTCATTCAAATTACAATCATTAATTATTATCAAATAAAAATTCAATTTATATAATTTTAATTGTAAAAGCCAAATTATATCGCTATCTAAAAAGATATATTTATAAAATTTTTTAAAATATATAATCGACATTCTGTTTGCCGATGGCTATAAGACAAATAATTCGTTCTATGCATCAATCATCATAGACGCCAAATTGCATTCCCGCAATCAATAACTATTCTACGAAATTCTCTAGCAAATACCATTGGTGCTTACAATCGATCATTATGTTTCTTTGTGAAGATTGCCCATTATAATCTGGCCTTTATTATTAGTGTGAGGCGAGCAAAAGAGGAATTGCGGCACACCTCTTTGAAAACAAATATACTTAATTTTGTTGATTGAAATCTGATTATCGATATGAATTAAATATCTTCGATAATAAGAACCATATAATAGTATCATTCGGATATTATTCCTATTAATATTCATGTTCAATAATGATCAAATTCTCGGTAATTCCATGCGATTCTTAATGCAATCAATGATTCCTGTAGTTGATTTGTAGGTATTAACCGGCTAACCGTGCGTATTTATATTATAATTGAAAAAAAAAAATGTTTAATTATTATGATCAATTTAATCCGGAAAATGTTCAGATAATAATTTATGATCCAATGCCTTGTTCTATTGAACATCAATCATGATTTCAACAGCTTGGCAAGGCTTGAGGTGGCGGCTGTTTGAACTGAAGGGCGCTTAGCAGGGTCGATCACCAACAACGAAGCAATAAAATTCGCCAACGACCTTGATTCATTTATGTTCAGGTTCGCCCATGTTTCCAGCTCCCACCGCCGAGCGTAAACAGTCTGGGCCCACATGTGCTCTTTCTGCACCAATTTCTTCAATGGCTTCTGCTACTTCACCTGCCGCCAATCATCCATATTGTAGTCAAAAACGAACAAATGAGAGAAATGCTTGCACGTTGGGACGACAACACGCGAAGCCCAACCCTTTGCTGTTGTGATGTGAGCGTTGAACCGTTGATAGTTAATGGATCGAAATTCGTTCGTCCCGGTCATGTTGTGACGGTGTCCCTTTTATGTTGTGACGGTGTCCCGGTCGTGTTGTGGCGGTGTCCCGGTCGTGTTGTGACGGTGTCCCGGTCGTGTTGTGACACTGTCCCGGTCATGTTATGACGGTGTCCAGGTCCTGTGATGCTGGTGTCCCGGTCGTATTGTGAAGGTCATATTTTGATGATGTATTGGACATGTTGTGATGGTATCTCGGCATGTTTTGATTATGCCCCAATTATGTTGTGATGGAATTTCGGTCATGTTGTGACGGTGTCCTGGTAGTGACCCGGTCATGTGACGCTTGGTGTCTCGATTATATGAAATGAAAATATCTTTTATAATTTTATTAATATTATATTGCGATTCTATTTTTTCGAGATATTAAATTAGAATTTAAGTGGATTTTATATTGAAAATTCTATATTCTATGAATCGATTTATTATATTTATAAATATATATATATTTGATTTTATTAATATTATTTTATAAATATAGATTCTATTATTTTAAAATACAAAAAATAATATGTTTGATTATAAATATAAAATATATGTATATATATTCATATAATATGGAAATAGTAATTAATCGATATAAAGAATTTGATAAAGAAAAAATATATTATGAGAGCACGACGCCCTGGAGGTGTGTGTTTTTTTTCAGTGTTTTGTGTTTTTTCTATGATTTTGAATAGATTTTCTATGTTTTCGTTGCAATCACCCATCTGGTACACATCACTTGTGCCCATAGCCTGCTGCCCTTTGCCATGATCTTATCAACAGATTTCCTCATCAAGCTTTTAAACACATAGCTAAAGTCTGTATCTGTCAATTGCATCATAGCTGTGATCTTTGGAGGAATGATAGATTGTAGCTGATGGGCTGCATACATCTTCTTGTATATATATATATATATCATCGCTAAACGAAGCAGCAAAGCAATCCCTCTGATAGATGGATATTGGATACATCCTCCCTTGTTTTGCAATGACCCATGACATAATGATATTGTCTTGATTGGAGGATGGTTGGGAATAAACATCATAGTGCTCCAACAAATGAGGATGACCCCTTCTGATCTTGACCCATTGCTCCAATGCCCTCCTGGCATTCTCTCCCTTCCTATGCAGCTTGATGTCTCCCAAATAGTTAAATGATTCATCCTCAATCCACCTGCCTTTGTCATCAATGTTGTCCAATCTTGCATGTTGCCCAGATACTATGAGCGCCCCCTTGCCCACATGTCCAATGGGGTCCTCATCAGGGTTGAAGAAATTGCTCACCAGCTGATGGGCCTCAAAGGTAATCCTCATCTTCTCAATTGTTGAATCCGTCATGATAGTCAAATGAGCTCTTCCCCCACCCTTTTGATCCTCAATGGTCACCAATTGCCAATCTTGCTTCGTCTGATCATCCAATGCCTCAAGGTCCTCATTGGGTTCTTGTCTCGTGGGCTTGTTGGTTCAGCTCATCTTGAAGGTCCCTCCTAATCTTTTTGATGGTCTTCCCATGTGTCCTGGTCTCATGGCCTGCAAATACAACCTTAATTGATCCCTTTTTCACCCATACAGGAACCTGATCTGAGAATCCAAGCATACATTCAGGCTTTGCCACAAATTCCTTCAGATCTTCATGCCCCATGGACACAAGGCTCATGATATAGCCATGGTGGTTCCATGCCAATTCTGTTGAAATTTGTTGATCCTCATTGCTCAAGGGCGCCAACGCATTTGGAGTCATATGTTTGGCACCAATAGTATCCATAAGCATCTTGACCCTCTTGTCCCTTTGTTTATACCCCTCTTTGATGCTCTTCATTTGGGATTCAGCCCTTTCCAATTGATTGATACAAAGAATCTTGTGGGGCCCATCTTCCAGCTCATCCCTTTTCTCTTCAAGCTTGATTTTCTCCATTGATAGCAACTGAAAATATTTCCATGCAAGATCCATCTTCTGCACCCCATGCCCATAATTCCTTTCCCTTTCCAACCATGTCTTAACCTCACCAACCAAATGGGGGAATTGTTGCTTGGCACCCCCACCTGATGCCCTGATTCTTATGTGGTTCCTACCTGATTTTTTTTCCCTTTGCTCAATCCACTCCTTTGCGTTCTCTCATCTGCTGGTGTGCTTTGCTGATGCTTCAGAATCTCTGTCTCCCATTTGGACCTTTCAACATAAATCCCCTTTAACACATGAGGTCTCATCAGGATTGTCCTATTCCATTTCCTTGTGTATTTTCCTTTCTGATTCTTCAATACGCTCTCCGTTGGGGGAGGGGGTCAGCCAAAAAATAAAAAATAACAAATTGGTGCTGCCTCAAATCAAGGCCACCAATTTTTGTACTTTTTTTTTTGGTCGACCCCACCCCCTAGGAAACTATGTGCGGTGATGTCTATGCGATATCTGCTATTGTAATGTGGTGCGTAATATAACATTATCCTCCTACATTTTAACCTTAAATAAGAATACCTCCAATGCATAAATAATAAATTAATAAAATTAAAATAAAAACATCGATAATATCTATAATTTTACCAATTCACCTCTAACATATACATTGTTAATTTAATATTTATTATGTATAAAAAAAATATATTACAATAATATTTACAAAAAAAATAATCGAACAATTTTTTATATTTTTATATTTATTAAACAGGTAATTTCAAAATAACATTTAAAAAACAAAATAATTCAATTAAAATACAAATCATAACAAATCTTCATAGAATATTTATTAAAAGAAAAAAAATATATTGCATATATTCCAAAATAAATTATTGCTTAATTCATTCATTTCCTAATCATTCGTTATTATTCTATCGGAAATCTTATGTCCAATATTATAAAACAATAAATTATAATAAATTCCTATTTATTTAAAATATTTTATAAAAATTATATATTAATTTAACAATTATTATTCTCTGCCGGCTAAGTGCTCTCAATCCGTGTTGGGCTTGCAATCGACGAACGATCGGTAGCTTCCGGAGTTGCTGCCCGGACGACATCATGCGATGCGGATGGAAATAATTAAATTCCTAGGTTTAATTATTTTATCGAAAGCTATGAACAATGCTAAAATAACAACAAACCAGAACATATATGTATATATTTCCATCTTTAGAAAGTAAAGATTCGCGACAAGAATCCTATAATTATTTATCCAAAAAAAACCCTTATATTTATTATTATAATAAATATCAATAAATTACTATTTATTTAAAATATTATGTAAAAAATAAAAAATATTAATTTAACAAATTCGATTCAAAAAAAATATATCATTATTAATATATAATATCAAATTTAATTCGAACATATATTCGCAATAATAAAAATAATATCTATATTTTTCAATGTTTTTCAAATTTATTTATAAAATTTACATCCAAATAAATTAATATTTAATATTATTTATTTAATTAAATCAATTCATTTCATTCAAATTACAATCATATATAATTATTAATTATTATTAAATAAAAATTCAAATTATATAATTTTAATTTTAAAAATCAAATTAAATCAGTAGCTAAAAAATATATTTATAATATTTTAAATTACATAATTAAATTTCTTTTTGTTGATAATTATTTTTAAAAAAATCGTTTTATATATTAATAATTATAACGCCAAATTGCATTCCCGCAATCTATAATTATTCTATAAAATTCTTTAGCAAATACCACTAGTGCTTACAATCGATCAAAATGTTTCTTTATAAAAATTGTCCATTATAATCTGGCCTTTGTTATTAGTATGCGGCGAGCAAAAGAAGAATTGCGGTACACCTCTTTGAAAACAAATATAATTAATTTTGTTAATTGAAATTTAATTATCGATATGAATTAAATATCTTCGATAATAAGAACCTATAATAATATCATTCGAATGATTCCTATAGTTGATTTATAGGTATTGATCGGCTAACCGTGTGTATTTATATTATAATTGCAAAAAAAATATTAGACAAATCTATTGATTATTATGATCAATTTAGTCCGGAAAATGCTCAGAGAGGAATTTATGATCCAATGCCTTGTTCTATTGAGCATCAGTCATGATTTCAACAGCTTGGCAAGGCGTGAGGTGGCGGCTGTTCGAGCTGAAGGGCGCTTAGCAGGGTCGATCACCAACAACGAAGCAGTAAAGTTCGCCAACGACCTTGGTTCATTTACGTTCAGGTTCGCCCATGTTTCCAGCTCCCACCGCCGAGCGTAAATAGTCTGGGCCCACATGTGCTCTTTCTGCACCAATTTCTTCAACGGCTTCTGCTGCTTCACCTGCCGCCAGTCATCCATGTTGTAGTCAATAACGAACAAATGAGAGAAATGCTTGCACGTTGGGACGACAACACGCGAAGCCCAACCAAATGCTGTTGTGATGTGAGCGTTGAACCGTTGATAGTTAATGGATCGAAATTCGTGCGATTGAAATTGGCAGAAACACTGTGCTGATACTGTCCAAAGGACGTGGCTTAGGGCAGCAACTACAACATTGTGTGGGCACCTGCACATCGATCATATTGTATATATGTTGCTTCATCATTCAACACAAAGCTTACTTGCCTTGCTGGCGGACTCGGCATCAGGCGAACGCAACTTCCATGACGCCATTTTGTCCTGTGAGCCAGGACTGCGGTCTTCGAGTCTCCAACACTAAAATCCAGCCTGTGTGACAAAGCGCCCATCAGGTCGCTGCCCAGCTCTTTCAAGCAAAGCTTGTGGAAATCTGCACAACATATTCAAGGGTGCAGCCAGTCGCAACTGCATTCGTGACTGTGAATAACTAAGTATATATCTGTGTACTTTTAATACGATATATTTTACGTGTACGGTTTGTGGATTCAAATCGTGGCCTCTCGATGCTTCGCTCCATCATGGCCAAGTGCTCAAGGCTCTCATGCGTTCGAAACCTTAGGTGCTTCAGTTCGGCTGAAACCCTCGGAGGTCCTGATCGCACCTAGTAGCTTCTTGCTCCTAGGAGTAAGGCCAGGAGCCTCTAGTAGCGTCCTTGCTCCTACTGGCGGTGCCAGGGGCCCCTGGTAGCTTCTTGCTCCAAGTAGCTATTCTATTCTCTATTTGTGCTTGTAGCTTCACAGATTGAGCCGTGTTCAAGAGCCTTGTGCCGAGTGTTTACGGACGGCATGACCTTGGCCATCCTTTGCTGCACACTGGTTGTGTCGCCTGGTCTCTTGAGCAGCTGATAGCGCCGGAGGTTCGATTCATCATTGCGGTGGGCCCGGCTCGGACGTACACTTCGGGAGGTGTGGTGGCAAACCCTGGCTTCTTGCAATTTGCTTGCTCCATGTGGTTTTACCTCAATCCTTGCAGTTGGCCTGGCGGCGCTTTGGGGCTCGTTTCGCCTTGGGTTTGGAACATGTGTTGCCGAGAGGAAGGTGTTTTTTCTATGACGCTGGCCATCAGGGAGCCTGGAGCTTGCACGGTCAAACCTACGTGCGAGACGCGTCGCAACCCATATATTATATATCATTCAGTTAAATTCAGTTAACATTCAGCACTTTGGGCAGAACATGTGCCAGCAACACTGATTGAAGCTATCCGACTATCAAACACAGCTGCGAACAGGAGTTCACCGGTGTAGAGCTCCATCACGATGCAGCCCACAGACCACAAATCGGAAAGCTCATTCCAACCTCAATGTGTACATGGTGCGCCCTTCTATATCGCCTGACTCTTGCAAAGCCTGTTGGAACCTGCTGAGATGCGGACCCAAGGATAGAATGACCTCTGGTGCTCGGTATTGCCTGCGGCTACTTTCTTGTAGTTTGGGACATTATGTAGACGCATCCCTCAGAGTGTCTCGCCTAGTGTTGATGATTACAGAGTGATGCTCCAACTCATAGGTTGCATTGCCTCACAATGTTTCTTCCATCGCTCTGTAAAGCATCAGGCAATGGCCAAGGGCATTGCCAAAGTCGATGAGTTTGATTTCGGTTGACACAGGCCGGACCTTGGCTACAGCTTTATACTATATACTCAAGCATGCGGTAGAGTTCAATGCGCACAGAACCTCTCCAGACTTTAATCAGAAAAGCACAAGCATGTCGCTTCTGCAATTATTGTTGGCTTGGTGCAAAGCATATTCAGCACTAGGGCGTGAGGAAGTTGACTTGGACGCTAGCCACGCTGCCTAAAACAAACAAACAACTAAACACACCAACAAACCTGTAGGCTGGTGGCAAAATGATAGGAGTGACATATTATAAATACAATACATGTGATTCTAGTGGCACAGTAGGCCTCTCGAGGAAAGGAAGAAGGCTGTGGAGACTCAGATGACTGAAAAAGAACCTTCCATTCAAGTTGCTTCTGCTCACTTTGCGGCCATGGATGGGTTCCAATGTGTTGCAGTAAAGGTTAAAAACAGGCCGGCATGGCATTTTCAAGTTTGAGGTCAGTGTGAGTTAAATTCATGTCTGCGTGAAGGAAGCGTAGAGAATTGAGGCATTGCTGAGCCACGCTCTGAATGTCCTTGCCACGGAGTAGTTAAAAAGTATACGGGGTGAAACATTGATTTGTTCAACTTGAAGCCACACCTGCACCCACAAACCACGATAGCGGTTCTTCTTCAGGAGGTCATACAAAGACATGCCAAGAGCCTGGAACAGTTGGCATGACTGCATTGAAATCAAATGAGCCAGAACATCGCCTCACAAACAATGCAAAAGAGTCGTTCTCCATTCGCTTCATGGAAGAAGGTCTCATGTAGCCGAACCTGTTCGCAAATGCCAGTCACACTAGCTAGTGTGCTGCATCATTGCACAAGCGGAAAGAGTGGAGCATGATTTAGGGAAGCTGCGCAACCGCTAGATTTCCCAGATTCTGCTTTTCGAATGTCCTGCAAACAGTCTGCTTGTCCTTTTGCGCGACTCTCTTGTGCCAGCTTTTTGAAGGTCCTTCAAGATCTCAGCTTCCCGCATAGCATTGCGGGTGTACTTCTGGACCTATGACAGCAGTAGCATGATAAATGATGTGTGGTCAACTATAACTATGCAGAACTGCTGCCAGCATTATCGGCATCAGGAAGGAGTATGGAGAGCGCCCAGGATGAACAGTTTGAAAGAGGAAAAGCGCCTGCTATTATTGGATCGTAGAGTTGCAAAAGGCCTAGCTTTCGTTCCGCCCTTGTCAGGTCATTTGGTTATTCGACAGCGTGATGGCTCGCTGCTTCAATGTAACAATGTAATCATCCCTGCCAACTCTCATAAAGCTGGCTTCTTCTGCATAATTAAGCTACCGCAGGGCTCTCCACAAAAAGAAAACACACAATTTAGTTTCCAGGCCCGTTTTGTCCCCTCGGCCCCCCCATATACAGTAACGAAACTTGCTTCAACCCAGCCTGCCGGCTAGCTATCGTAATTAGCCAGCTATCCCAAGCCCACCACTAAGTTGCAGGCATTGCGAATGATCTTTATAGCAACCTGTCGCTTCTTCCTTTGATCTTCAGCTAGAAGCACACGGCCAAAGGTGCCGTCACCAAGCAGATCTAGCACAGTGTAGCGGTGGTTCATGGCCAAACCAGAAGCCCACCTGACATGCAAACGCTGCAGCCAAGGCTCATTGCACAGCTTCTCACTGCACTCAATTTAGAATATAATGTAGTACAATCATACTCTGTTCAAATCGGCATCGCCTGAAGTGCTGAACTTCATCCTTGTCCAAGCGTGGGCCATTGCTCTTCTGCTCAGCTTCCACCACCGAGGTGTCGGAGGAGTATGAAGTACTGTATTCCTCCTCTTCTGACTCTTGGCTATCTGTGCAGGCACTCACTGAGATGACGTAGCGCCCTTTTTTCCTCTCGTCATCGCATCGCTGGCTTCTGCTTCTGCTAAGCTGGCGGCCGTGTCCCCGAACGCCCTGGCTATCGCGGCTGCTCCCGTAGCCAAGCCCCTTCATCCCGCGCCACCCATGGCAAAAGATTCAGGGCCATTGCGTAGGCCGAGGATCAACTCTGCTGCCGTGGGCTTCTTTTGGGAGGCCAAAGTGCCAGTCGAACAAAGAACACTTCCAGTATCAATGATATGCTGATATGCGACGATTTGTGCGCTCTGCTCCACACTTCCTGGAGTGGTGGTTGAGTGGATCGGTGGCTGCATGTCAAGCCGCAAACTGACCGCTTTTTGGGCACAGTCGGATGTTTCCCTTTTGCAGTAGCTCTGTAATATTACATATAAGTCAAGGCAGCCACTTGAGAAAGACACACCTGTCACAACAGAGAGGGCTTTGTCTTGCGTGCCTGATGTCATTGACTGAGCAGGATCACTTCTGCAGCCGGAGACTTCACCAAGGAAATAGAAAGCAAAACAACTTTTCCGTGGGCCCATGGATCTGGGCGGCAAACCAGCGACTGATGCGCATCAAGCCTGCCGGGTATCCTGTCTTTGCGCACGCTGCACGCGCGAACACGCTGCAACAGCAGTCCGCGTCAGTTATGCTGCATAAGGGATTGCAAAAATGTAAGATGCATTTGGAAAAAAGGATCAACTAGGAGGGAAAGACTGCCATTGGATAGCTTCACACTTGCGTCTGCAGGTGTCTCTGTCAGTACTCCGCACCCAAATGTTGCGGCAATCACACATTTATGACTGGCTATCACTGGCTGGCATGCTTTGAGTGACGCCAAAAAATTGGCCATGCTGGCATAACCCCCTGACCAATGAAACGACAGGGTCAAGGTTTACTGAGCTGGACGTCACCATGCGGGTAGCCAGTGAAGAGTAGCTTCCCCAGAAAGTTCGCATGGGAAGTGCAATCATGACCCTACGGGTTGCTTTCGCTCTCTTGTTAGTTTAGTTCCCAACCACACATGGGGAAGCCTTCAGACAAATCTTATGGACTTCACTCAGAGGTTTCAGATGAGGTCTCGCTTTCCTGGGTCTCCTCTTTCGGCGGTGCACCTTTGGTGTCATCCGCATCATCATCTTCGTCCGCCATGTCAGCAGTTACTTGGCTCGCATTGGCTTCACTTTCCTCCAAATCCTGAGGAGGTGAGCATGAAACACGATTGCACATTCTCAGCAGCCTGCAGTGACCGACCAAAGTTGCACTCGCTACTTGTAGCGCACTGCAAGTCTCCCACCTTCTCTTTTTGCAACTCCTCAACACTGGGAAGAGCCTGCTTTTCTGAACCTGGCCTGAGCCGAACATGGTGTTCGATGATGCCTGAATTAGATTACATAACTAAGGGTGACTTATTATGTATATCTATATATATATGTGTGTGTGTATGTGTGTGCACCCCTTGGAGTCACAGGGTTCCTTTCGGAGTGTTTCGCTTTGGCTTTCATTTTCAAGCAGCAGGGGGGCCAGGACTCCCAACGAAGACCGCGCGCCAGGGAGGTGAAAACGTACCTGCTATTGTTAAATTATTGATTGGTTGCTGTGGTCCCTTGGTTTGTTTCGTGGTGGTTCATGTGCCTGATGTTGTTCCAGGAGGTGTTTAGGTTTTCAGGTACTTCATAAAGGGCTAATGCACGTTTCGCCGTCATCCTGTCGCTCGTTCGTTTTCGTTCAGAGCTTTGGACCTGCAAAGGGCTAATGCACGTCTCGCCGTTGTCCTGTCGCTCGTTCATTCTTCGTTTTGAGCTCTGGAGATCTTTAACTTACCTGAACCTTAGGCGGTTTACTTAGGCTGGCGTGTGGCAACCGCTTTCGAGTCAGTACGCATGTCAATAAGATTCAATAAGTGTGTGTGACTTGGATTTTGCTGCAAGCTGAGGACAGTACAAAGCTGTGAGCTTGTCAACACCCCAGGCCAGCACGTCAGCGTATGAACTTTTGACGAGGTCCTGTCCAACGGAGGTGCAAAACGCTGCTTATGAGCAGATCTGTGTACACATACTTGCGTGTCCTGAACATCCTCGAAGGATGTGTTTTCAGCAATCTGCTGGATGGCTACAGCTGCAATACCCAAGCTGGCAAATCTGACTAGAAGCATGAGGGCATCATCCTTTCTCTTTTCCCATGAGTAAAACGGCTGGAAGGAATCAAGGAAGCCACAGTACCTGACACATCCAGAGAGTGAGTGGTCAATTTGAGAACAAGAGTGATATACCAGCATTCAAGAACGGTGCCAACTGAACATGCCAACACATGGCTGAGACCAAGTTGCTCGTCGTTGAGGTTGGGGAAAATCCAGAAATCGAAGCCTATCACCCAGAACATTGTGAAAATCAACATCCGCAAAATGAGGACGCCAAAGTAGAGCGTCAGGAAGATCACACTGAGATACCAAACGCCCACCTGTCCAAAAAAAGCAAATGAAATCAAAGTCTGAAGAACAAAGAAAAAAGAAGCGAAAGGAAAGGCCCCTGCAATGTTTTTGTCTATGACTCTATGTTGTTCATCATTCTTCTATAGACATCTGCAGACTCTTTTGTCGAAAAATTCAAGCTCCACGGAGGAGCAAGAAGCCTTAGCCCACATAGGCCACACCGGGAACATGCATGCAAGCAGGACCCCCGCAATAATTAGGGCAAGTAGGAAGTGCTGCAAGCCAGTTCCTCCTTCGTAGGTGATCACGTAGAACCTTTAGAATCAGCACTTTCTTGACACACCCCCTCTATCTCTCTCTTTCATCTTTCAGGCTGCGGCTTTTGCGATTCGGCTCTGGCTCTGAGGCCTCCACCCTTCGCAATCGAAGCTTTGGTTCGGTGTCCTGCCCAAACGGTCAGGCCACTTCTTTGGCTTCTTCTCCGACCCATCGTCCGACTTGGAGGTCGGATTCAAAGGCTTGTACATTGCCTGATCATTCTCAGCCGCACAATTTGGACCAAACTCCATTCAACTTGTTCAGCAAGCTCTCTTGACTGCATGATTTGGGTTTTCCTTTTTGGGGGGGGGGGGGGGCGGGCCCAAGGAAATGATGGCCGAAACTCGCCGCAGGAAGCTCTCAAATGGCCTTGTAGCAGAAGTTCCGCTGAATTAGCTCGTTGCCAAGCTTCTCGATATCCCGATCACTCTCAGGAATATTTCCCTCTAAGGTCTCGTCCAAAGCTTTGGAGCATTTCTTCTTCAGAATGGTGTCATGTTCAAGCAGGAACTTCTTGAAGTCCTTCCCACGGAAGTAATCCACTTTCTTCTTGCCAACCTCAGCTGCGGACTGCCCACAAGATCCACTGTGTATAGTGTCCAAACATCACATCAAACCACCTAAACATGTACTTTACATCACGCCAAGGAGGGTGCTTCGCTGGCGCTCTTCGTCTTGATACCTTTCTTTCCCAAAAGTACCTTCATGAGTGGTTCGAAGGTTGGGTCCCACTCTGGCTCCTTGTCATTTTTAGCTTTTCCTTAGCGGTGAAAAAGAAAAAAACAGCCGATGAGCGATGAGCGTTCAGAACAGCAATGAGTTTCACCCCTCAGGAGCACACTGAACATGACCCACAGCAGCGAGATGCGAGGAAATCAAAATCTGCACCCGCTACAATTCACAGCTTTGGGCCGAAGGTAGCGTCCTTGCTCCTAGTAGCGGTGCCAGGGGCCCCTAGTAGCGTCCTCGCTCCCAGTAGTAAGGCCAGAAGCCCCTAGTAGCGTCCTTGCTCCTAGTAGCGATGCAAATCTTAACTTCACCCCTGACACCTTTGGTGGTTCACAAAGTGCACTGCAGCTTGCAGATGAATGTGCGGAAAGCATTTGGCTTGCTTACTCCACATCTGATGAGGGTGACAATGAAATTCAATGAATGCACGAATGAATTTCTTGACCCTGGGCTCTTCACAAGGAGGGATCGCCCCCTCCAGCCACAGGCTTCAAGTGGCGTGCGCTGCATTCAAATTAATTGGATAAGAACTGCACATTCTGCAAGAGGAGGACATGCTAAGCCTAGGGGCCTGCAGTGAATTCAAATGTATCATATCTACAACCGGGCGCTGCTATTTCCCACGCCGGGAGGAAGCTGCAGCTTGCCTGCCACAAGGTTCACGAATCCGGAGAGAACAGTACAATCAACACATGCAAAGAGTTCAAGGGCGGGGCGGTCCGGGAAATATCAACAAGCTTGAGTACTTGAATCTACTTGTGATGTGCTGAGTCCAGGGGCCTCTGCCCCCTTCACAGTGTAAAAAGCAACGCAGCAAGACTTTAGTTCATCGTGCATCTGCTTCAGAACAAATGTTGAGGCAAATTCCCATGAACTTTGTTACTAGTAGCGATGCACTTGTTACTAGTAGCTTCTTGCTAGTAGTAATGCCCTTGTTACTAGTAACGATGCACTACACGCAACCATGCGGAATCAAGGGCCGCCCGCACGAGGCTTTCAGTCCTGCAGCTTCCCGTATTTGATTTGGGCGGCGCAGACCGCAAACAGCGCTTCGGCTTGCCACCAGTGGTGCACTGACTCACCTGTCAAACGAAGCCTAGGGCCTAGGGCCTAGTTGCATGGACCTGTGTCCGAACATGGCATGTGCATGGTATCATTTAGGTTGGAGACCATCGCTAGTAGGTTGGAGGCCACAGCTATTAGAAACAAAAAACAACATGGCACGTTCTTCATGCTCCTTTGTTGTTTTCAAGTGCGCGCCTGCGCTGCAAATCTCAAGGAGCAAAGTGTCTCATGGGCATGCATTGCCTCTGGACCGACATTGACAACCATCAGGGTTTTGCCCTGGCCATTTAAGCAAGGCCTTAGATCATGATGGGTCAGGTTGGGCGGCACTTGAGCTCTGGGGATCCAACTCCATTAAGTGCGTCCTCAGGAATGCTGCAAACGTTCACACTTGGCCGCATCATGATCTTACATATTATATGGTTTTCATGAATTTCCGTATCTTCTCAACTGAGTCCGTGTCAGCTTGCTATTTCGAAATGGGATGTGAGAGCGCCCCTCAGCTTTTGCAAGGAAAACATCGGCCAAGCTTGACCTCAGCCACAAAACATATATGGCAAGTGTGGTATGTCTTTGGAATATGCTGTGTCGCTGACAAACTCTTGTTGATGTTCTGAGTTTCTTTGAGCCGATCCCCTGTGGAGCCAGACCTTGGCGCGTGTCGCTTACCCAAACCCTTGAGACGGTCACTGAGAAAACTGCTTGTCCAGTCGCTCAGAGCCGGCCAAGTCCACCAAATGCAGTGCTCCCTGAAGTTCCTTGCAGCATTTTGGAGCCACGGGAGCTCTGCAAATCTGTCTCCCCCCGCGACACCTCTCCACTGAGTGTTTGGCACACTGAAGCTCACGATTCACGCCGTGTAAGTACATAGCGAAGATTGAGTGTGACCGGGAAGAGGTCGCATTCATGTCAGTCGCACCAACCTGAGGTGAACCACCGTCAGAATGGATTTCTACTTACTTGCGACAGGTAGCTGCACAAACGTCTGCATCGCCAGTCACTGGATGAGACAGGGTTGCCACATACAATCACTGCCTTTAATAGTCCCCTTCTGAAACCTTCAATTCGAGATGAACATCTAGGCGTTCATAAACTTGTCCAAGCCGCTGCTCGAGCCTTTCCAGCTCTTTCCATGAGCCTATTGATGTGATCCATTTGCTTCACCTGATTGACAAATATCACTTGCCACCAGCCATTTGGTTTTCTACCTGCATTGACAAGCATGCTGGCACCAAAGCTACATTTGTCGTTGCCTCCACGGACGTGACGTTTGTCACCATGGTGCCATATGCATCATCGTGCTTGATCACATGAACCAGATTGCTTCCATCATTGTCCAACAAGTCGCGAAGAACCTCGAAGGGTGAAGCAATATTGAAGCTTGATTGATCTCGAAGGGTGCTAGCCTCGTTGTACACCTCAAGGAAAGATACTTTCAAAGTCCATTCCCATCCTGGAGGTGACAAATCTCCCCACAGGTCATGGTCGAAAAGAAGGTCCGCATTTGAGTGTGACACACCTGGAATAAAGGCCTCTCAATAGCCTCTACTCCTACTCCTTTCTGGACTTATATAAACCTTTGCTGTCACTACCCGGCCTGCTGCTCTCATTGCCTCCGAGCACTGAAGGATCTTTGACAAGCAGCGAGGTATCAGACCTCATCATTAGCACCACTGCATATGAGCCCCCTCGTGAAGCGAAGAAAACAGCATTTTGTATACTGGATTCTGTGCATTCCACCACCGACACCGCCAATCCGTGGAATCCAAAAGCCCAAAATCGGCAAAGCCAGGCAGTGCGTGATAATCCGAGGGAAGAAATGGAGTACACAGCAAGCATCAATGCACTGCTGGCGAGGTTGCCAGGCTTGAAAGCTGGAGGATGTGCGAGAGCATAAGAAGAGCAAAATCTTGTCAGAAGACCTAATGACCTAACGATACTAGCACAAATGATCATCATTCTGTGATGCTTTTAGGCTTCTGGCCTCTAGCCCCTTCAGATCCTTGCATTGTGAATGTCTTGCCAGAGCCTGTCTGACCATACCTAGCTCGGAGCTCCATGATTTGTAAAGTTAGGAGTTAGGACATGCAGCAGGCCGATCTTAAGGCCACCGCGCGAAAATGCAAACTTTGTACCCATCCTTAGTCAGCCGCTGGACGGAACTTGCTCAAGGATGTGGCTTCATGTGAGGCTTTCAGTTTAGATTCCAATGCGGATTGGACAAGGCCGTCAACTTCATCAAAAATCGCCTCGCAAGCCGATCTCATTGCTGAACTAAAGGGCAGACCGGTTCATCTACGCGAGGCCGGCTGACTGAAATGTCAACATCGTGTCGACACGCATCATTCCCAGCAGTCCTCCTGGGTTGATGTAGTATCAAAAACACGGTCAAAGCCAAAGGTGTAGGACTCGCTCATGTGATCCAAAGCAATCCGGTTCTGACGGACTTACAAGAACAACGTCTCAAAGACTTATGAATAGCTTATGAGTCATGATCAAAGAGTTGGTTGAAAACAACGGCCTCTGAAACCTGCAGACTCAAAGAGTCTCTGTTCTCAAGCTGTGGTCGGATCCGGCAAAAGACTCGAATGTTGCCTTTCAGCTCCTGGGAGGCTCAAGCCGAACTGCAGAGTCGGCAGAGTAAACAGAAAACACTGGAGTAACAGAAAAACGTCAGAAGGGCTCAGCCACTCAGCTCCTGAATCACATTGTGCAGCTCACGCCGAGTAAGCTCAGCTTGGGCCAACTGATTCTCCAAGGAAATAATGTAGCCTCCCCGACTCTAGCTCATTTCCCCTATCTTTCTCTCTGATCTGATCTCTCTATCTCTCTATATTTTTCACCGGAAGACTGTGACAGTTGCTACACAGTGGTGACACGACATTTCACAGGCTCCGCAGTAGGCCACCGCGTGACTTCATGACTCTGAATGACCCCGTCGCCTTGGCGTTGGGTAAGGTTGCCCTGCTGAATCTGCAGCTCGGCTTTCGTGAAATCCACCTGCTTGCTCAGTTTATCGACCTCAAGGAGTGACTCGAACGACGAGAATGGTGACACACGTGCTCCAGGACATCCAGACCCAAATTTTGGCAAGGCAGGAAAGCATGGAATGAAATGGGCCTTGAATCAGAAGCCGCTGACTGGGGGGCACAGCTGTAAGTTTCAACTCGGTGATCGCTTCCATCTGCTGTTGGTTGCTGGTCCCGTGGTGCTCTTTGTAGCTGCGAAACTCCACCTCCCAAAAAGAGCATGTCCCCCCCCCAAAAAAGCACATCATAAAAACTACCAGGCTAGGGTAACAGTCAAATATTCAACCCTTGATCATCTATGTGCGTATGTGTGCGTATCAACACCTGCGTTAGGCATGTTAGGCAACAGTGGGCTTTGTTTACGGCAATCCACTGTCAATCGTCCAACTCAGGGGGGCGGGCGGACCTTCAAGGCATCACGCTCCATCGAGAGTTTTTCACATTGAGCCTGCTTTGCCTGGCTTGTATCTCAAAGACTTCGGGTGCCTTTTGCATTGTTATAGCGCTGAAGGCTCGTCTTGAGTCTGCGTGACTGAGTGACTTGCATCAACTGAGGCTTTGAGGCTGATAGCCTCCTGGATCACAACACCGCTAGGGTTGATCGCTAGCAAAATGACCTGTAACAGCTCCTCTTCAAACCTTTTTGCTAGCATCTTGAGTCGGATGAGTTCCTCCTCACCACAACAGAGGCGAATCGGTGTGCACCTGATAGCTTGCAACTGGTAAGAGCCTGCAAGGCAGCCTGCCGCTCAGAAGCCTTTTCAGCCCTTAGCTCAGGTTGAACTTCGAAGGACTGCGCGCTCTCTGTTTGAGGCTTCAGCAGCTGCTCCTTTTCGGTTTCCAATCGTTGGATACGCTGCTGCTCCCTCTCTTGAAGATCGTGCATTTGGTGCCTGTGAGACCGGCCATTCAAACTCTTCAATTCTACGTATAGAGCTGAAACTTGCTAAGACCCACTCTCCGGACCTCGTGGAAACCAGCTCCGCCTCTGATTGATCAGCCCTCTGCAAATTTGCCTTGCGTGCTTGGGATAGTGAAGCTTATTGGATCTTATGGGTAGTAGGTAACAAAGATCAAACTATTTCTGATGCAGTATGTCATTCGCACTTCTGGCTCTTCAAGAACATTTCCGCCGAATCAAGACATGCGAAGGCTCACGATGGAGCGATTGCGCAGATCTTCTGCCTGCTGACGCTTGAGCAAGTAGCCAGCTGCTAGCTTAGCTAGCTTTCGGCAAGACATGTCGCATGTTGCTGTAGTAGGACTGCAGCTTGGCATGTTGGCCTCTGTTTCCAACCTCTGCACACGCTGCTGCCTGAGGAAAGATTCCCATGCTTAAATGATCTTATATAAATGTATATACAAACACGTGATGTCAGATTCAGGACCGTCAAAACTAAGCGAGGCTCTCCAACCGTAGCTGTTCACTTGAAGCGTTTTGGAGGAGCTGCATCGACTGAATTGTGTCGCGCAAGTTGGCTTCCTCCGGACAAGGAGAATAAAAACCGCCTTTCGCACCTCAACCGGTTGAAAAGTGACTGCCCAAGTAGGTCAACGCCTATGACATCCTACAACTGCAGAAAAGAGACAGCACAAACAGCACAGCACTAGATTGGATCGCTTGGCCTTTTCGTCAAGCTGGCGTTGGAGGGAGTGGACCATTTCCCGCAACGAGGTTTCCTGATTTGTCAGGCAGTCATGCCTTGCTCCTTGCTATACAAAATGTGCGCTATGAATGAATCAATCAATCAGTGTCAATACAAGTTCTGCCTGCTGTCTCAAAAAGGCAGCCGATTCTGAAGCTGCACGTTCAGCAGCTTCCTCCTGCTGATTCTGCCCAAACTTGCATGAGCTGGAGCACATTCAAACGAACTGCAATACAAATACAAACCTCTTCAATTGCAAGTTATGTTGCGTGCAAGCTGACCCGTGATACGGGGTCTACAGTACCCTTTCAATGGAGCATCGATGTTGCGAAGCAAACCTGCATTGACGTCCCTTGCTCCTAGTAGCGATGCCAGGAGCCCCTAGTAGCGAACATTGCTCCTAGTAGCGATGCCTTTTGCTCCTAGTAGCTTCTTGTTCCTAGTAGTAAGGCCAGGAGCCCCTAGTAGCGTTCTTGCTCCTAGTAGCGACGCCACATAGAGAGTGCGATCCACAAAGAATGAAGACGCGGATCACACTCTGTATGAGGATGATGGAGCACAAAACAATGCAAAGCATGACGGTTGAGATTGTTAATATAGCCATGGCGGGTCATGCCCCATCTTGTAGAGGCGCCATGTGTGGGGTACAACATGGTACAACCAACTCTCTCTATATATATATATTATCATGCTTATGTATCTAATTGTTTATTTATCTATACAGCTCAATGTAATCTTCATGCATTAGCCTTGGATCAGGCCCACTCATGCTTGATTGGCAAACTGGTGAGGTGGAACGGACATGAGCACACCAAATTTAGCGCAGTCTTGCATTTTGCCAAGGCATCTACAGTGTAATCTACAGCTACAAGGGTGGAAAACAATAGCCACCCCCTAGTGAGTGGTTTTGATCGCAGTTTGTATCACAATGGCCACTCATAAAGGGAGGGCTCGGTGGTATCATGAAGAGTGACACCGGCTCTATTTTTTCCCAACTGCAGTGCCTATCCCAAGTGCTACATCGCCACCAGCAAGAACCCTGCAATTGTGGCTCTCCTTCAGCCGAAATGACTTCTCAATTTCGTCGACGGCTCGCTGCTGATTCTGCTCAAGATTGGAGATGCGGCTTCTCACTTCTGATTCCTCCCCAAGAACTTGTCAACATGAATTCCTCCGGCTGAACAAATGTCCGCAAAGTTGCGGGAGGGGATTCAATTTTGACCTTGTGGAACCGTCAAGTGCCGACGCTTCGGTCGCCTTGTCTGAGAGTTGCTGCTCCAACATTTTGACCGCCTGCTTTTGAGCTGCATCCTTCGAGTGAGGAAGCTGAGTGCAAAATGTGCGAAGAAAACGCTTTGTCTGATCCCCTCTTTTCCTCACTTCTTTGCATTCCGTCCATTCGTCCTTCTGCTCATGCGCCATGTCCTTCTCATCTAGTACTCTTTTGTGCGTTCTTTGCAAGCTCTCAACGAATTCTCTGAGCTCGGTCTCCTTGCAGCAAATTGGCGGGTAGGCCCATGGCCGGATAGCCGGATAGGCCCGACAACGCTCGGCAGCGCCCGATCACTGGCAATGCCAATCTGACTGAGAAATTTTCACACACACACACACACATTCTCTCTCTCTCTCTCTTTCTGTCTTTCAATCTTTCTCTCTTTCTTTCTTTCTTTCTGTCTGTCTTGTCTTGTCTTGTCTTGTCTTGTCTGGTCTGTCTGTCTCTGTCTGTCTGGCTTTCCTTCTTTCCGTCTTTCCTTCTTTCCTTCTTTCTTTCCTTCCTTCCTTTTTCTTTCTTTCTCTCTGTTTTGAATTGCACTTGTAAAGGGGTAGAAAGGGGTAGGATCTTTCAACGCCAACTGTCATGTTGCTTTGCCCGCCTTCTGCTTGTGAACAGATTCCATTTCCCTCAATGCCGCCTCTTGAGTATCTCTCAAGACTTCAATGCTTTCTTTCATCTTGTGCTCCTGCTACTGCTAGTCACCCATGTTACAAACAAAGGGCCATTAAAGAATCATGCTGTTCGGTCCTTCTCTTTCAGTTCTGCTTGATGAGCTCGCTTGAGCTCATCAATGCTAAGGCTCATCTCCGCCTCCTCACACAGCTTTCCAAAAGCACCCTTCGCTTCAAAGATGAACTGTTGCTTGCGGTGCCATTTATCCCCCCTACTGCAAGTTCTACGATTTTCCCGTCCTTCTGCCGGTGGCCTGCCACCGCTTCTTGCAGCAGGGCTTCATGTGTTTCTTTCAAGTTGTCCATCGAGCTTCTCATCTTGTCTTCCTGCAGAACAGGAAGCCACAGGCTCAGAGTTCCAGCATTCTCTGCTTCAAGGCTCAATTCATCCAAAAATAAAGGCCTGCAGTCGGCCTTCGATCCACACTTTTGAACAAGAGTGCAATCTCTTGGTAGAATGAGCATGTGACTGAGCATGTGATACTATTCCCAATCCAGGTCAGACTAGCTTGTTGCTTCGGCAACAACAAACATAAAGTCCTTCTGCTGTTGGCGTTGCATCAGTTCCCGTAGAGTCACTTCGTGCTTCTTCTGCAAAGTCTCAATGCAGTTCTTCATGCGGTTCTCCTGCACCAAAGGGGAGCAAGGTAGCCAAACTTTGTGGACATGCCATGGTGGAACCTGAATGAACCATAATGAACCCATCAAATTTGCACATACAAGCAAGCTGTGTACATATCTATATATATATATTCTGTATATAGACTATATAGATATGATATAAAACTCACGAATCACTTAAGTAAATGGCAGCCCCTCCCTGGAAAAACAATACCTCTAAATCCAAAGAAGCAATGGTCAACGCGCTCCCAAGTCCTGCTCTTCAAGTGTTCCCTCCCTCTCTTCAATGGCAGCCTGATAGGTCTGCTCCATGTCACTAATAGTCGTTTTCATCTCAGACTCCTTCAGGTTGCAGAGCTATAAACAGAGAACAGCAACGATTACACCGCCACTGGTCTCACTGAAGTCCTTGTTCCGCAAAAGGGCATCTTTTTCATGCATGATCTTTTTGTAGTAGTCTCTGAGTGCATCAGTATTGGCCTGCATCTCGCTCTCCTGCGGCATAAGATAGAGAAGAAGAACCCTGCGCAAGGCTAGAATTAACTACGACTAACGACACGCTGTAGTGTGTACTTGTGTCCTTCATGCGGAGGACTTCTTTCAACTCATCCAGCTGCTGCTTGTGCTCTTGTTTTTTTTGCTTCTTTGGCCTTTTCAAATTCGGCCTCAAATCCAAACACCCATGCAAATATTTTTGCATACAGCAATAAAGGCCAGCCAAGCTTGTTTCGGCATCCAATCAGCATACAAAGCCCGCCACTCGCAAGGTAACTTCTTTCTTGTGATGTGCTTCAACCAGCTGTTCCTGAGCCTCGTAGTCTCGAAGGGGCGGATTAAAGTGCCTCGCTAGTAGAAGCAAGTGCCTCGCTACTAGTAACAAGTGCCTTACTACTAGTAGTAACAATGTTTGCTATTAGAATTTAGTTAACTAATAGCCTATTAATAGCTTCTTGTTACTACTAGTACGGCACTTGTTACTAGTAGCGAGGCACTTGTTCCTTGCATGCTCAAGTTGAACCCCTTTTTTTTGCACAAAAGCCTGCATGGTATCATTTACCTGCCGCCTTAGCAATTCTGCGGCCTGGCAAAGCAGCTCTAGGGGTCAAAAAGCGATAAACGGCAGCACACTGGAACGCCTCTTCCATCTGTGTCTTGTGCTTTTCTCCCATCTCTTCGCACCTTCGCTTGTATTTAGCTGCCTGGCTGATGTGGGACAACACAAACATTGTACAGTAGTTTGCTCACCCCCAAAGAAGCCGTTCTGGGCTTCCACTCCCTCTCTAAACAGGGGCTCACATCTTCAGAGTAGCTTCGGGCAATCTTCCTGGCGTCGATTGGGAATACTCACCACATGCTCACACGGTGCTCCGATTATGAAGTCCTGCCTGGCTTCTTCTAAGTCCTGTTCTAATCTTGATGTTCGGCTTGACATTTCAGAGAGTTTCTCCCCCAACAACTCCTCATGCCCTGGCCGAAGTGGTGGATGCAAAAACAGGACTTTTGAAAACAGTTTGCAGTTTGCATGGCCACATACATCCAAATTCTGGCAGGATGGCGTTTTCCTTCTTCAGTACTGCATCGAAGTTGCTTTTGCTCAGTGCGAAGCGCTGTGATTTCCTTGTCTGCGAAGCACAATCGCTCGTTGGCCTTGCAGGGCATTTGGACGGTTCAAGTTCAAGGTGAGGTCAAGTGAAGCTCATGTTTTGACATGTTATCTTGTACTCATACATGTCCAAATATGGCTCTTCAATCTCAACGTATCTCAACGTGGCCCCCTCCTCACTCACGGCTTTTCGCAGCATCACCACCTCTTGTGCTGAAGTTTGTAACCTTGGCCACTAGCGGCATGTTTGTGGCTGTCAATTGTGAAGACAGCACAATTGATGTGGGCTAAGCTCACGGCTGGTTGTTTATGCCACTCTCCATGCTCAGCAATGCCTCAAGAAGCTCAACTGGATAGCAAACAGCTCATGGCTTTGAGCAAGACTATCGTGGTGAAAAAAGTTCTCATGTTGGAAATGTCATGAAATCTCAGGCTTGGGCATCAACCAACGCTTTTGCTTTGAGCCGTTGATCCGACAGCGCGTTTTTTCAATGGGCAAATCATTGCTTGAAGATCTGCAATTTTGTCTTTGAAGTCGTATTTGCCAGCAGTGGGTTTCAGTTTAAGTACCTCAGCAAAATACGCACACCCCAGCGGGGACAATTGCAACATAACCGGAGTAATTACTAGCACCAGCTTCACATCATACGAGCTGCGGCTAGCACATCGTCAGGATCCCCAATAGTTCTCCGCAGCAAAGTATGGACATCAAATGCTTTCGCCCCTGTTGGCAAAGGTGGTGGTGGTGGTGGTGGTGTCCCTGCAGATACTGCTGCCTGGCATTGCTGGAGAGCGTGTTCATCCCTCTAAATCAGAAACTTGATTATAATGCCGTACTGTGGGTTACTGAGAGTTGGAGAGGCCAGTTACACCTCTGAGTGCTTGAGTGCTGAGGGTGCCACCGCGGTCGGCCCCCACTGGAAAACTGGTTTCACGAGGAGTTCGAAAAGAATGCCTCTAGGGGGTTGGTCTTGCCACCGCCATCGTGTCTGGAAATCTTGATGTGCAAGGTTAATTAGAAGCCTGACGAGCAAAGCCAGCATGGAACCTGACTACCGCTGGTTTGTGAGCCCGGAACCCGAAAGCCAGCCCCAACAAAAGCAGATGCCTCGCATTGAAAACGGAAAACCCACCGCAACTGTTCCAGAATCTGCATACAGTATTATACTCTTCGACATTCGCCTTTCCCGCAACGAAGCTCTCACCCGCCCCAATGGATCGACCAAAGTCTCATGAAGTCGTTGACCCCACCTTCTGGGAACCATCATGCACGGCCCCCTTTGTCACTGGCGGCGGGGTCTTGGGCTTGAAGCCAAAGCGGACACGATCATCGTCAGTTGGCCTGTCCTTGTACCAACAAATGTCACCAAGGATTGCAAGGTAATACTATAACGCTTTCATGCAGCGCATTGCTTGCCTTGGAGTCCTGGATGCTGGCAGGGGTGGCTGGCTGTATGTTCTCATCGTTCTCATGCCTAGGTCCATTCAAATTGATGTTACGAGTAAGCGTACTCAAATTCCAATCGCTCCAAAACTGAGAAAACACTCAGGGGAAGGCTCTGCCCTGACCTCTTGAAGTATGCCCCGGTACGCCATGCTCGCCATCCCCAAGCTGATGAACCAAATGCAATGAGTCAAGCAAACACTTCAGGTGCTTTTGCACATGCCATGCGTATCCATGCGTCTGGCTAGAGCGTGCCGCACCTTTTGTCTGCCTGGCAATTCTTTTTTTTCCAGAAACAGGACCTGAAGTCTTCAGCGCACTTGATCGCCTTTGCCAAATCATCATCTTTGAAGCTTAGCTACCATGGTCTGCCGGGCTACCATAAACTGATGATTTGATAAATGGCACAGACTAGTTTCAGCGCGGATGGTGAACCTTAGCGAAAACAGCGATCAAAGGTTTCTTCCTGGATCAGGTTGCTAACAACCAACATCAACCAACTATTTCTAGACGTCAAATCGTGAGGAGCATTAGACTGTATAGAACAACTGTTCACTGAGCTGGGGTATGTGACATTTGGAACGCCCTGTGCCCGGATTTTGTGCTGCCAAATGCAAGAACTGCAAGAAGCTTCATTGACAAAAATCCATGGTCCAAGAAAGCAACTAGTAAATAGACAAGGACCCGGGATCCCGAAGTTGTAGTCTAGTGAGTCTAGTCAGGGCAGGGTGAGGAGTGCTAGGAATGCTAGCCCCTGCTTGCCTTGTGTCCTGCAGGACGAAAAGCACAAAAACAGATTGATTCGGTCCGCGTATGTGCACGTAAGCACGTTGGTTGTACATCGCACCGCGATTGCAGGAGTGCGGGTGCCAATGCAACGGGCATACGCAAACCAGAAAGCCAGATCCGCCATTAATGCAGCCGGCAAACATGCTAGTTTTTAGTGGTATATATATATATGTATATGTGTGTGTCCCTTGTCTAAACTCTTGACTAGACTGCTGTAACGGCAAGGGTGCGCCTGGGTCGGGGATATTCAATTTCATTGCAGTGGCAGGAACGTTTGTCGTTCACTTGGGGTTGATGAGAAGTATTTTGGCCATGCCTAGATTGCATATCATATGGCATCATTCTAGTCACCATCGACCTGAGGCCAGCAGGGGTGAACGAAAGCTCAGGGATGACCAGCTACCCGACGACGCTGCAAAACATACCAAACTTCAAACCTCAAACGTCACAGGCAAAAGACAATGTCGTCACTGTTTCACTTTTTTTGAGGCATTGCTACCCTGCCTTTGTGGGGAAGGCTCTGCGGAAAGTCGTCCCTTTGCAGAAGGATTACAGAAATATTTTGTCAAGCTACGGCTATTTCTACAGCGTTCCATTGGGATTGTCATACCGCAAGCGGATGTAAATCAATCAAACCCACACTGTTTTATAACTAGGGTTCCATAGGTTTTTGCATTCTATGGGTCCACGTTTCTGGTGAAAAATCAAGTTTTGGTAAGCTTCCATTGGGATTAGCTCGCAGGGTTGACTGGGGGATGACTTCTTGAAAACAGCGTTGCCATGGGGACTTGGCATTGAGATCATTGAGATAGTGGTGATGGATGACAAAGGGACTTTGTCAGCTTCCTGTATGTGGTGGCGTGGATGTTACACATTTTGTACAAATTCAAGCAATGCGAGTATATAATGATGATATCCACACATCATTCTGATGATTTCTTGTGTACTGGTGGCGAGGCGTAGGTTCTTTGAGTGGTGTACTAGTGAAGTGGTGTGTCTTACTCTTTCGGAAGCAACATTTTCCTGGGGCGAATCGCGCGAGCATTCAACATGTTCACTGCTGGCGAGATCCAGATCCATGTACCAAGGTACCGAGGGTAAAGTTATGGTGGCTAAAATCAACGGCAGTGCCTTGGGATGCTGCTACAGTCAGTGTCCGCTGCCAGTGAAGTGGTTGGTGAAAATGGTGTGTGGCGATGTGAGATGTGGAGATATGTGCAACGTGGCAGAACCTTACCCGCGATGGTGTGGATGGCCTGCTTTGACTTGAGCCATGACGGGATGGGTTCTCCTCTCATCTCTGTAACGTTGCAATTCTTTGCCCAAGTGAAGAAGCTCCGCTTCAAAGAAGGTGACCTAGTACATTTCTACCGCCAGTGAAGTGGAGCTTTAACAGCTAGCGGCTGGTTAGTTCGTGAAGATTCGTGAAGCGAGTGACTGCTAGTGAGTGGTGACGTGATTGGTCTATACAGGTGGTAACATGGTATTGTGCCTTTGCTGAGTTTCTGATCGTTGGTTCAAGGACGCTCTTCCGGCTGCACATTGTGCATCGCAGCTGCCGTTTTGTGCTACAATGCTGACGTGGTTCGGACCAGGACGGACCGATAGAGCTGAGACCCAGTAGGCGGGGGTCTAAGTCATCAAAAACCAGGTTGAGAGTCCAGGAACAAAAACTGCACGTGTTTGAACAATTCTTGCGAAAGCGTGCACGAGCATGCAAGAGAATGCGATGACAATCAATGGCCTCACGTGCCTCACCTTACGTCAGATTTTGAGGGCCTGGCGTCCAGGTCCCTAAGCATTATCTGCGAGCACGATCTCGCCCTCGATCGCGGCTACGACTTCTGCTTCGCCGCCGCCTGCGATGAGGTGGCAGCATCTGGCATCATCTGACTATCATTGATTGTCAGTAGACCATAGGCCCACTTCATCAAATGAGTCTCTTTGATTCTCGTCTTGGAACGTCTTGCTCAAGTTCAGTAAGAAAGTAAAATATCTAGGCCTCCCTCGGTCCCTGCTAGTGGTTCTGCTCCGCCTTGGTGTGAGCAGCAAGCTACGGACCACTCTACTTCATGCGTTAACCAATGGCTACAGTCAGCAAACGTGCCACAATAAAACAAAAGGATCTTCTTTGAAGCTCTTTTCTTCAGCTGTGGTTGGAACCGTCGGCTACGGCTGCGGCTGTGGCTTGCAGCTGCTGCTGCAACCTTGGCATGCTGCTGGACCAAGCCATATATATATATATAAACCCTTAGAACTAGTTCAAGACTATCCACATGTCAAAGCACATGGTCCGCGATGAATGAAGGTATTGAACCATGATGAACCATGCAACTAACGACGCAATATTATATTCAATAAATACTCCATGGAGGTGAGAATGGCTCCAGGGCTCAAACCGCTCTTTTCAAGCGATCTTTGCGCGAGTACTCTGCCAGCGCCCCAGTCTCCAGCTGAGCCTCAACCGCCTCATCAAGCAGAATAGTCGTTCATGTCGTTCATGTATATACTGAAAATGCTCCCCTTCCTTTCTTTTTGCCTGCTCACTTTGGAACGTTCCACCCGACTCTCACGGGTTCCCTTTGTTTTCAGTTTAGCCACCCGTTTCATTTCCAACTCGTTCCTTCCCGATGTCTAAACTTCTGAGCAGCCTTTCGCCCACTCTCCGTCAGCTCTTTGACGCGGGCAATGAGACTTGCCCCAATGGCGTCCGTCAATACTTTGGAGCCAGCCGGAGCCTCACTGAGGATGGTGGCATTGAGATTGAAAATAGGAGATCCATCACTGAGGATGGTGCCGTGACCTTCGCAAGTTGTACCACTTGGTCGGCCGAAAGGCGCGACTTTCTCTCTAGTTCTTTCCTTTGCTTTGTCACCTTGATGTGCGGTGAAAGATGCTTCGCATGTCTACACTTGCTTTCGCTTGGGGCGATGGCTTCGTCGTCACTATCCCAACCGCCTCCAGCACCCTGCTCAAACACACTTTCATCCAATATCATCCAATCACTAAGGGTGATCCAAATGTTCATCTCCAGCCTTTGTCCAATCTTTCACTGTTTCTGCCCAAAACTCTGCTAGCCTCAAAGCACTGCTTAAAGCCATGTCAGCACAATGCTTAGCAAAGCGTTCTCAACTAGTTGTTCCAGCCCGGTTTGAGACAAATGGAATCAATAAAAGGCCATGAGACCGTTCCACCAAGGAATGCTTTGCCCCCAGGCCAGCTACAACGCCCTGGCAAGCACAAAGGGCACGGCAAACAGATTCTCACAAACAACAATTCGGCAGGCATGGCTTGAGAAAGAACAAGGAGTTGCGCAGGTGGGAAGCCGGATATCCTTCCTCAAATGAAAGGAACGCAACGATGCCGCACAAATGAAGGCTTCCGAGGCTTGTGCGGTCTATAGCTTCTTCTGCTGCCGCCTGCAGCTCTCAGTATGCCGCATAGAAAAGAAGCCCGAATCTTCACCATCTTCGTGCCTCCAATAGATCAGAGCGCCCATCGCCAGCAACAGCAAGCACCAACCTGCTATGCGTATGCTGGGCAATTCAGCTCTGAAAGTGAAACAGCAAAGAGTCTTCAAGAGGTGGGACCTTTTCTCATCATGAGGTCATGAAAATTGAGCATGCCAATTAAATGTCTAGTTTCCATGATAAAGCTTGAACAGCAAGCTTGCCAACAAACTTGCTTGGGTCTCTTGATCACATCTGCGGCTGGCAATGTGCCCAGCTGAGGCTTCAAGGCCACTGCCTGAGGCAGCGAAGGGCTTGGCAGAGGATCAGCGAAGGCTGCGTCTTCCAAAGTGGTTTGAGACTTGAGATTGCTTGTGTTTGTCAGCTGAGTGGGCATCAGGGACTCGTGATCGAAGTTTCTCAGGCAATGGCCGCATTGGTTAACAGTTGAACCTTATCCTCTGGATTCAGAGCCTCGCCGGGTGAATGATCGAACATTGACATTGATGAAAATGGTTTATCATGGACAAGATTCCAGCGTTTCCAGCCTTCTTGGCCTTTGCCACCGCAAGAAGCAACCGAACAAGATCACTGACAGGCCAGCTTGCAGCGTTTGCTGCTACAGCCCGGGCCTGGGCAGTTATTGTGTCTGAAACAAAGCATCCTCCCATCTTCCTTTCTCTGCAGCGCAAATCCGACACCTCCAGGTCCCTCTGTGCTCATGGCCACTGCGCCCACAGCAGGCGTCAGACTTGAACTCTTTGTGGATGCTACTGCTAGATCCAGCAAGCGTGCTGGCTGCAGTTGCACACCGTTCAGCCTAAGTCTCGAGAGCTCAGAGCTCTTGATCAGCTCTTCCTTTCGAGGTGCTGAGAGCTGCACTTTGTCGATAACACTTGTGTGGCCTGCGCCTCAGTTGGGTCCACGAAACTTGAAACTTGCGCTCAAGAACTGGAAGTGGGACACCACTAAGGGAAATACCAATGTGTCAGAGCTAAATCCCCGTTCACCAACAGCTAAAACCGCTTCTGCAAGATCCTCTGCCTCACCAAAGGTGGTGCTGCCCTTGCCAAATCTCTCATAAACAGCAATTTTGTCTTCGTTGCACACATCTTGTCAAGGAACGTCATTCAGGCAATTCAGTATCAACCCGATGTTCGACTGTTTGCCACCTCTGAAAATAATTAGTGTCCATCATGCTCCGACCTTTGCCATTGAGGCCAAACTGGCAAGCCGTCCAGAAATATCCTCTAGGGCAGCTCCAGCACACGCCATAATTCGAAGAACTTCGAGCTGCTCCTTTCTTGTGACGCTTGGCTGCCGGAAAAACTGTGACAGTGATAATCATAGTAAACATTTAGTGGTTTTCATGGTGGCTTGCAGCATCTCTCATAATCTAGCAGCATCCAGGAAGGCATGACGTGATGCAGGTTCGTTTCCAAACATCTAGTTTTGGCGAAGTCCTCAGTCGTTGGCTCTGGTTGCTTTGTGTCCATCATGAGGAGAGCAGAGGTTGCGAAGGTGTTGGCCTAAGGGAACTCCAAATGATAGTGTCTGGTGGCTATCAGATACGGCAAACGGTAAACGTGGCCGTTCTTCAAAGCCAAGTGGCCACCTCAGTACAGCTGGAGGACCCTGCGGACTTCACGAGCTCCAATGCCTGCTCCAAGCCAACATCTGCAACAAGCGGCTGGCACCTCAGGTCTTGACAACTTTGAACGACTTGAAAGCGCTCTGACCCCACCGAATTATATAGCCTTTGTAATCTTTTTCGAGGGCACGTTGACGCCAATTTCGCATCAACTTCGTCCACACTGGGAAGGCGAAGAACACGACCTAGCAAGGGCACCTCATACGGGCACAACTGGCAAATACAGCACATAGCGACATAGTGTTCCACACATTCATGAACCGTTTGGAACCATTGCTTCGCAATTCAAGGACCTTAGCCCCACACATCTTCCACCTTTGATTTATCATCTGCTAGCTGCCGGAAAACAACATCGGCAACTGCTTGTTGCGCTACCTGCGGGTGTGGAGGCGCTTGTCTCACCCCTCTGAGAAAAGCCATCCGCCTGACGAGTGTGGACGAGGTCGCTCGCCGCACCTCAAACACGAATCAAAACGAGTCAAAAAAACAAGGAAGAAAGAACATGAAAAAAGAAAGAGGTGTTTGGGACTGCTTGGGCCTCTTTCATATTCTTTCATAAGGCATCCTTTCGAGGAGCGCACTAAGGCCTTCTTCTGCCCTTTTGGCCCTTTTGAGAAATGATGAGAAACTGCACAGGCAAAGGTGGCTGGGTGTTGGACTGGGACCGCCCACAGCAGCAGCAAGATCGGCCATGTCCAACAAATCGTGGAGTGGCAGGACCTGTGCAAAATAAACGAACTTAAAGCAAGTGGGCCTTCGCAACAACTTCCTGGCAAAGGATCCAGCCACTTCGCCCCCATTAGTCGCAGTTGATAAAATGCTTCGAAGGTTGGAAAGCCTCACGTGCATGATGTTCTGTCGGAATCGTAAGTACCAAATCCCTTTGTGCAGCTGTGGTGCAATTTCTTTTGAGCTGCAATTCTATTGATGGTCTTGGTCACATCCAACCTTGCACCGAAGAAGTGTCCGGTGAGTGTGTGAGTCCAAATATCGGACTTGCAGGCTGGAAATGCTGGAAAAGCATCTTAGAGGCCGTCAACCACCATGAAGAGATCACCAAGTTCCCCACCCTTCGCCATCATGAGTTGATGCAGCGAGCACCACCAATGCTCGAGCTGCAGCTGGAAGGGGAAGCTTGGTCAGTTCATCTTTGGCTCCAGCAACAACTGCTGAGACCTGTAGTCTGCACTTGTGTCGCTCGCCTAACTAGCATCTTTTGAAGAGTCTTGTCAACAACAACCAACGAAACAAAGTGATCTTCCTGAAAACGCAACCACACAACCCTCCTTGCACAGGAACCTTTGAGGGGCCTGTTGCATTTGGGTGACGCAAATAGTCAGTATGCTGTTGTGCCTGTTCTGGCTCTTTCTCTGAACACATCTTGTGTGTATTCGTCTGGTTTTTCCCTCGTGATGTCACCCGATTGCGTACTCAAACCCTCTTGACTGTAGGCATCCGGCACCATCAATGTCTTTGACACTGGCCAGCAGCTGTGCTAACTTCTCCTGCTTTGTCCGCAGCCTTAGTGACTGAGTGTAACAGAAAGACTTACTTGCACCACTTGCACTGTGTTACGTGCATTCTTTGCACAACCTTTTGTTGATGGCACCCCATCCCAAACACACATTTGCAATCGAGACACCGCACTGATTGGGTCTCTTTGTTGAACTCCCATGTCTCCCAGTGCCCTTCGAAGTAGATGATGAAGTCCTCATTGTCCCACACCTCAGAGTTGCTTACCATCATGTGTCCGATTCTGAAATTCATGGGGCCGGACTGGCTTCTGAAGGATGTTGGAGAAGTACAGCACGATGTTTGGATCTTTTCGCAGCTGTTCAAGTTTCACCCAGCCCTGGTAAGCTGCAACCGCAGGTTGTAGCACCTCACAGGGCCATGGAATCACTGGGTCAGGCCGCTGTATGCTATGCGATGCTACATGATATCATGCCTAGCACTAAGCGTTCCAAGTTTCGCCTCTTCCATCTCGATGAACTTGAACATGACACCGAAATCAACCAAGGTAAAATCAGCAATGCCCCGGTCATCTTCCTGGCACACCAGTCTGAGAGGCTGAGGTTTCTTTCCGAACCTACCCTGCTCTACTCTTAACCCAAACAATGAACTTACGAGAATGCCAAAGGCCTCGCCATATGGTGCCACGCGGAGATGATTCGGAGGAAAAAAGATGAGGTAGAAGCCTGCAATTTGACAAACTGTGCGCCTCTGGGCAACATGTGGCAACTGCTTTCAGTCGCCTTTTCGGTAGGCTGCTTCAAATCGAAAAGCACCCTCGTAGGCCGGGCTGGTAACTGCAATGAAATTCACCTAGCATTGTCAACGGCTTTAAAATGCATGCTGCTATTGTCATTCAGCATGTTTCAAAACCACCTTGTCAACCTTTTCTCCTTTCCGTGCATCTTCCAAGCCAACCTCTGAGTCAGTGGGGCCTCAGGCTCAACTTTGATCAGGAAAGTTGATTGGTGTGCAGAGCTAGGATGTTGGCTAGCTGGATCAATGAAGAAGGACAGATTCAACCCTCCACAAAGTCCTGCAGCCACCTAAGCCAACAACCAAACGAGCAGCTTCTGGCTTCTGTAGTCAAAATTCAATCGTACCAGCCACAATGGACCTATATGGTCCTAACATACTGTCACTATCACTGTCATTGTTGCAATGCAGCTATTTGCAGCAAGGCACCCCCATCTTTTCACCTGCAGCTCTTGACCCAAGAGCTCGAACCCTGCACATATTGTTGACTTCGGGTAGCCACCACAATGACCATTTGGTGTCCTCGAAGAAAGCCTGGCGAAACAAAATGATATGCAATTTCCGAACCATTTTTAAATTCAGCCTGCCTTGAATTCGACATCGGGGTCGTCTTTCCTGCTATGGACAAAAAGTCTTCGGCCACTGTACCGGACAAAGCGGTCCGGAAAGCCTGGCCAGATACAGTTGCCGTGCTGGTCAACGCGATGCTTTTCGACACGCTGGTCACACCTATTGGCATCATCATGAACTCCTTTGGAATGCGCATTCGCGGAGCCTTGCGCAGGGTGGGTTTCCTTCACAAAAGCCACATGTAAAAACACTCAACTAAGCCCAGCACTCCACTGGGAGGTGGTGGTCCGAATCCTTGCTTCTTTCTCTTCACCGCCCTCCTTTGGTCGTCATATGTGGAGCGCTTGGTGGGATTGCTCAAGACCTGCAACAGGAAAACACGAAACAGGCACCAAAGACTCTTACTTATGTCTGCTTCACTGTATAGATGTCACCTGGCCTCATAGGCATTGTTGATTTTTCGGATTTGGGTCTCTGCTTCATCACGATTCTCGGGATGCTTGTCGGGATGCCATTTCAGCACGAGTTTCCGGTATGCTTTCTTAATCGTCGCCTGGCAAAACCAAGGTACAACTGGCAAAATGTGAAAGTACTTACATATCGGACGTGAAAACCAGCAATGTGCACCAGTCGTATGCCACCTCATCAGCATGATCATCTTCGATGCCCAAATCTGCATAGTAATTGACGATGTCCATGACGGTACCACGGACCAACCAAAAATGCGATGCATCCCATTGCCCCTGGGATGGTCATAATCCACGCTAACGCTGGGCCAAAATGGGCAAAAAGAATACGAGGGCCAAGTTGCATCGAGTTGCACAAGTCAGCACAGCTTGAAGGGGCCGGACGTTGTATAGCTGTTTGTGTTGGTTCTTTTTCTTTGGCACCACGGCTTAAGCTTGCTTGGTGCACTGAGCACACGATCCGAATCCGTACAAAAAAGATATTGGACCAGCCAATCACAATCAAAGAGGTGATGGCCTGCTGGTCATCTGGGGAGAAACTTTGCCAGTGGTTGGCTCCCACGTTTAAAAAAACATCCGCTCCACATCTCAGGCAGCATCTTCCTGCAGCCAGCGGGCCGCCTGACACTTAACGGAAGAAGCAAGCTAAAACTTGGCATACAAAAATGGCCTGCTTTGCATAGTACGTGAGAATCACCGTGGCTCCAGATCTTCTGATGGACATCAATGCCTGTGCCAAGCGAGTCTGAAATGGGGAGTCAAGGGCGCTATGCCTCACACCTCGAGGACGACTGCCTTTTCGTCCAACCACCCTGAACAAACAAATGTTAACAAAGCCACACTGCTATGCCGGGCGCCATAATGCTATGCAACGCACGTCTCAGGCCATCGCCATTTTGTGCTGCGGCCTTCAGCATGGCATATTCACCGGACACCTGGTGCACTGCAGTGGTCAAAGTTGCCGCAACAAAAATCTCGAAAACCACTACCAACTTCTGCAGCTACCATCAACTGTCTAAATGTGACATGTGTATATGTATACCTGTATGTGCTTTCATATGGAATAGTTAATGATTACGCATATAGATATGTACATATATATATATATATCCGTCTCTGTGTGTGTGTGATTGAATACACTGACACGGTCCGAAAACAAATGCATTAAATAGCTGAAGGCTGCAAGATTCACACAAATCAGGTTGACCATTGATGTACTGGGTGGTCAACCATTACATGTGCGGAAAATATGAGCAAATTGCCTGCTGCAACCCTGGATTTAGGCTTTGTCATTGGGAGCTCGGCATGGTATGCCGCAATTGGCAGGTTGCTCTGCTCGTTCAAGCCCTTGATGATGTCAAGGTATGGCCTGAGTGATCATTTGGATTTATATGCGGAGTTGTTCGGCAAATCAAAGATGAGGTGGCCGGCATTGCAGGCTTCACCATCAGAATGTCTGCGCCCTCCTCTTCATCGAGTGCTGCCTGCTAACATTGCTTCTTGTTTCATGACAGCCGATGAGGCTCTCACTTCATGTCCTGTCCGCTCACTTGCCTCCAGCAAGGCCTCCTTGTAATTGGCCTTGCGCGCCGTGGTAGAAACAGGGTGGTAAAATTAGCCTGTGTCCTAGCATAAATAAATAGATCGGATGGGGTGGGACAGGATAGGATAGGAAAATAGATTAAGATAGATTAAATTAGGTAGATTAACTAGATATATAGATAGATTGGATAGATAGATTGAATAGATTATTGATAGATAGGATAGGAGAGATAGATACATAGACAAGGTTTAGATAGATAAAATTACATAATTAAGAGAATAGATAGATACGATAATGATAAGATAAGATCAGATAAAAAAGAAAACAATATAACAAGAGAAGGAACAATAATGAAAAAGAAATAAAGATCGATCGATGGATCGATAAATGGATAGGATAAGATAAGATGAGGAATAAAATAGAATCAAATAGATAGATAAATAAATAGATGGGTAGGTAGATAGATAGAGGAAAAGAGAGATAGAGATGGGTATATATATACAGTATATATGTATATTGATGTATAGATATAGTATGAGGCAGCTGCGTTAGCGGCATTCGTGCTACTAACTAGTCCTTCCAGACAAGTGGCCGGGTCTTGCTGATAAGTCTCTTTCCCTTTTGGCACCTGTGCTGGTCAACCAACGCTGCATTTCCATGCAAAAGGCAGGCTGGAGGTGGCTGCAGGTGGGGCATGTTCTGTCTCTCCCACCTTCCAGTCGTCCGCAATGACTGGGTTTGAGTCCAGCGCTTCTCTGAATGGCCTTGGAACAATCATGTGCACATGTTTGCTCAAGTCAAGCCAAAGAACGCACTGGCAACGAAAGGCTCACAAATGGGACTCTTGCCCATAGAAAGCGGAGGCATATTTGGCGCTGTATGCCTGGAGCAGTTGATGCAAGGCGCTTCAAAGTTTATGTGAAGTCCAAGGTCCGAGCCATGATGCCCACATTTGTAAAGCCAGCTTCATCGAGTGCATCACGGATGGCTCCTGACCAACAATTGAGGATTCAAACAGCTCTGCAATTCATCTTCTTTGTCTTGAACGTTTGAGTTTCAACTTGAGTTCAAAATCTTCAGCATGCTCACAGTTTGTCAATAGTGTATCCGCTGCGCCTACCCGGCCATCCATCATGTCACTGGGGCCTCGCAGGAAGATTCCAATCAAGCAAGCAGTTTGATGTTGGTCTTAGGCGATCTGCTGACATAGTCTGCGCCCGCTTCTGCTTGGGACCTTTGGAGCAAATTGAGGTGAAGCAACCACAAATCATGGCGACGCATATTGTTGCTTCGCAGTGGCACAGCAAGGCTAGGTTTCTAACACGGCCTGCTTGCAAAGGTAGGCAATCCTTGGCCAACTCCCGCAATTCATCAAGCCAAAGAAGGTGTTACGTGTGCACATGCGTGCACTGTGCACCATGTCCAGCCCGAGCATCGTCTCATCATTCAAAATGACACCATCAGAACGCACAATTCCATCATGACCTGTTGCCAAAAGCATCCGAAAGCACAAAAGGGTTTCAACTAATGAATTAGGGTTTCAATATGTTTCAGCTTGATGTGGCCACAAAAGGCCAAAGTTTAGGGTTGTTGAGTCGTCGTACTGAATCGAAGCAAGCCTGCCTCCTAGATTATGCTGAAACCGAGCCTAAGGCCTAAGGAATTGTATGGGTCCAAGGCAACGTCCGTGTAAACAACCTGGCAGCAAGGCAATTCCAAAGCTCCAATTTAGAGGCACTCAACCTCAACCTTATGTTGTCTTTTTGGAGGCATTCGGATTCATTGCTCCAAAGCGACCTGTTTTTTCTCGCACTTTGTCAGTCAGCAAGCGCTTGTTGCCGCAATTCTGGTTCAGCTTGGCTGAAGCGGCAGCATTCATTAACAATGGCAACTTCACCAGCAGCAGTTTGACTGCGCTTGGCCGCTTGGCCATAGACAATGTGAAGGGTCTCCTCCGACAAGTTGAATGCCTCAAACGCTCTGAAAGCTCTGCGCTCGATTGGAAAAGAGTGTGAAAGAGTGCTCGCACTCCTCTACAGTAAGTTACTCATCCATGAAGGTGCGGCAACGGGCACTTCAAGTAACGGGGGGAGAACTTGACTGGATTGGCACACACCCCAATACTCGTACTGAACTTATACAATCATCATGATTGCCTCTGGTTGCGGTGTAGCCATGTCCAACGTTCATTCAACATAATATGTACATCTTTATGTATATGTAAGATGCACATTGTACATGCACAATCATGCACATATACGCAAACAAAGAATATATCCACGCTTGGCTAACGAGGACATGACGAAATGAAGACATGAGACACCTATCTGCCGGCTGCGCTTCCGCACCTCCTTCGCTGCTCTGCCAGTCAGGCCTTGGATCCAAAGTTAGCCCAAGTCGAGATATTTATACCGCCGGACTGAAAGTTAGAATGCCGTACCGGCTCCAGGGTGGAGGCTTAGAATGCGTGTCTCATTTTCCTACACTTAGAATGCCTGCACGGCCCCACAAATAGTAAAGATTTAGGGCGGCATTCTGACTGTCAGTCCGGCTAGAGTGTTTTGCATCAAATGAGCTCTATACAGTGATTGAATCATGTAAACACTATGTGTATGTATATATATATGTCTCAAGTATATATAGATCTTCAATGGGAGATGAGTTCAATCATGGTGGAGATGGTGGATTCAAAGGAGCTGGAAGAGGCGGCGGATCTGGATTTGACATGGTCTTTTTCAAGACGGCATGCAACGTTTGCTGCATGGCGCCAGCTCAAATACCTAAATTTCCTTTTTTTGAGCCAAGGCACTAGGCAAAACACTTCAACAAATCATATATATTATATACAAATTAGCCCAGGTACGTCTCAATATTTGTTTAAGACACGTCTCAGGTACGCCTCAATGTGCTGGGAGGCATTCTAAGTGGTAGCCGAAACCTAGACTCCCCACCCGGTGATAGGCATTCTAACTTTCAGTCCGGCGGTATAATCCATTTGCATGTTTGGGGGGGATAGGCCGCAAGTAGAGGTAGGTAGGTTAACGCTTATGATTTGGTTCCAATATGTTTTTGGAAACTTGACATTAGAACACTGCTGGTTCCATCAATGCAAGTTAGCTTGGCTCTCACTGCTGAGGAGAAACCCGCATCACCAAGCCATTCACCTTGGCAAAAGAAACCGGAGCCGATACACTCACGAGGAACACCCTTACCTTAACCTTGCATGTTCCATCATGTTCCCTCCAATACTGAGCAGTGCCACCGTGATCGTGGTGCCTTGCTTTGCCTTGCCTGTCGAGCTAAAAGCTGGCAAGTCAAAACTGCCCCTCTTCTTGCAGACAGCAACTTGTCAACATATGCCATGCACATCTGTCAACATTCTACCCCAAGCAAGGAACCCAAGACCCTCATCTGCCTTTCTTCTTAGCTGAAGCAGCCTCAAAACAAAAAGAGTGTTCAATCGCAACTCCTTAGGGCCTCGGCAACTGCAAATCCAACACCCTCCACCAAATCAGGAGGCCTCCTTGGAAGGTGTCTTCTTTTTCTTCTTCTTTGTCTCTTTCGGCTCTCCTTAGAAACAAACAAGATCAACAAACAGCCTTCTGAGATAGTGTCTGACACACATTTATGGAAAACAAATGGGGCTTGAACCTAGTTCAATTCCACATGACACAATCAGTCAACTTGTATTCGGCAAGATGGTGACCAACCAAAAGCAACCAAAAAGATTCCAAAAGTATGCAACACTAGCACTAATATGCACTAATACTAAGATGCAGCCAAGTGAACCGTGAGGAGCTTCCCCAGCATCATGGCCTGCATCTGCCTGCATATCAAGAAGCAAAACATCCCAGTCCCAAACGTTGCTTTTATGGCTTGAGACAAGGCCCGACCCAACGACTTTGCCAAGTCAGTGACTTGATGCTCTTCAGCCTTGGCTTCTGGATGCACCTGTGGAGAGTCTACTGCCTCGCTAGCTTCCACGTCCTCATATCAATCAAGCTGGTGCAACTGGCAGAACGAAGCTTGGAGAGGTGCTCTGGCAGCATTTTGACCACTTAAGTTTCCTCATCCAAGGTTCCGAGACAGGTTCTTCAAGTTCATCTTCCGCATCTGTCACTTCCTCCTCTGCTTGTGCCGGTGGCGCTTCGAGAGGCTCATTTGACTCCACCTCACAGATGCAGCAAATATCAGTTACCGGTGATGATAAAGGGAACCGTGCAGGTATGGTATTTATTCATACACTGGGCTGGTTATGAACCCACAAATCCACCTTGGCTGTTGGATTGCTTTCCTCTTGCGTTTCCTGATCTTGCGGCGGATCTGCTTTGAGAGGAGCTTCAGCTATGTTGTCATCGGCTTCCTGGAGGTGTCAGTAGTCTATGGCACAGCCACAGCTCAACAAAAACACACACACACCTCAAATTCAACCCTTAGGATCCCTTATATACATTTATATACAACATGTTAAGGGGGGTCGCTTAGCCGTTAACAATGTTAACCTTGTTCAGTCGCCTCTCTCGTCGTCATTTCTAAAACTTGGTCTTCTTGCTCAGATGGTGCATGTAGCTCCACGGCTTCTGGAACGGGCTCAACTGCCTCGGTTTCCTTTGGCTCAAGTGCTGTCTTGTTGCGGATGGTCTTTGGCTCGATGCCACGTTTCTTGACCAGTTTATTTCGCTTATCCTTGCGGTGGCGAGCATGAAGTGCCTGGGTCACATGTTTCTTCCAGCGCTTCAGACCAATCCGCATCCGTGCAAGTGCCCAAATCCATTGAATCTTCTTTGCACTTGGCCCCAGTCCCTCAGCTGCGGCCTCACACAAACATAATGTCCCGATATCGCCAACAAAGCAAACACAAACACGAGAAAACAACTGTCTGCCCGCCTCCGGTCCGGCAGCATTCGCATCAGCATTGGCATCTTCGTTACTAGGTTCTGCTACAAGCAGCTGTCCGCCTTCCCCTTGCTGAAGTTCTGCATCTCGTTTTGGTAAGCTGTCCTGAAGATGGTTTCCATTCTCAATAGCCAGCCCCTGGTCGGCAGACTTGGCTCCGTCTTCCTCTTCTTTCATGCCATCTGCGATGTCGTTCGACTTCAGGCCGTTCATTGACGGGATTGCTGCGACCCCACCACCCATGGCATCCAGTTGGGAATTTGCTGCCTCACCACTGGGACCCAAAATGCTTCCATCCTGTCCATGTAAAGCTCCATTGGCGTCTCCCACGACATGACCATTGGGGATGTCATTCGACTTCAGGCCGTTCATTGACAGGATTGCTGCCCCTGCAGCCCCACCACCTGTGGCATCCAGTTGGGAATTTGTTGCTGCAGCATTGGGCACCAAAATACCTCCATTCTGTCCATGTATAGCTCCATTGGCCTCTTCCACGGCATGACCATTGGGGATGTCATTCGACTTCAGGCCGTTCATTGACGGGATTGCCGCCCCTGCGAAGCCACCACCCATGGCATCCAGTTGAGCATTTGCTGCTGCACCATTAGGCGCCAAAATGCCTCCATCCTGTCCATGTAAAGCTCCCTTGGCGTCTCCTACGACATGACCATTGGGGATGTCTTTCGACTTCAGGCCGTTCATTGACGGGATTGCTGCCCGTGTGGCCGAAGCACGTCCAGCATCTAGCTGAGAAGTTGCTGCTGCTGATGCTGCTGATGCTGCTGCCGCTGCTGCTGCTGGGGCACTATTCGGTGGTAGGTTTTCCCCGTGATGTGCCGGTGAAACCTCCCAATCTGAGGCCGAATCTGGACTCGCCACATCCCCAGGCAAGACTGTGGCTTTGGTTTCTCCAGGTTGCAGCAAGCTGCTGCCTTCTGCACTGACATCCGGATTCCCAGCATGCGCATGGTCTGCAGTATCCACTTCCAGTGCGCTCTGCACACATGGGACCTGTTGCTCGCCGTTTTGTGATGCTTGTAAGTGCAAACGCATAAGTTATTTCAGCTTACAGTCAAAAAAGGTTCCTGCTAGGTCTAACAATGTTTCAGAGTGTTTGAGATCATGGCCAGGATAAGCGGGGGCTTCAAAATCTTAACTTTGACACACCCCAAACATGTGCCGTGAAACATAGTGCCGAAACGCCCTGTCCCGCCTCACCCTGGAACTTTTTCAACTGAGATGTCCACTTGGCGAGAGACTGCCATTTCTGTCCGTCAGCGGGTGGCTTCATCTGCAGCTCTGGCCGCGGCAACGAAGCTGTTTGGCGCACGCGGTCCTTTGGGGACCGCTCTTGCATCGCATGGACAGTACGCCCAAAATGGTCTACGAAGGATGTCCCGGCAAAAACCTCATGTTGGAGCAAGGCTGTGCATATCTCGCCATGGCCCCGGGCTGTAGCCACATGTAACCTCAAATGTTGCTCAAGGTCAAGGATTCGGACATATCACATATCAACAAGGACCCTGAAACCCATTTTATCATTTTCCAACGAGTCCAAGCAGTAAATGAAGAAACTGGGGGGGGCTTCTCGGTTTAGTGCGTCATGCTGGGCGCACTACTTGCAACATATGAATATGAAAAGTTTGGCCCTGTCAATGGAAAAGCTAGAGACGCAGTCATACCATCCTTGTCTCGAGCAGATGCACCCTTGAACCGAGGGCTATTGATAATTGCAATGCAAAGCTCATTCCTGCCATGAGCAGCACCTGCATGTAGCGCTGTCCATCCGTTCCAGTCTTGCATATTGTGAGCTGTGAAACGCCAGTGGTCAAGAAGAACATGGCAAGCACTCAGGTGCCCTTTGCAAGCCGCATAGTGTAGGGCTGTACAGCCTTGGCAGTCTTGATTGTTGATGGCGGTAAACGTTGGAAGCTCAAGCAGTTCGAGGCAAACTTCTGCATAGCCCACCGATGCAGCATAGTGCAGTGCAGATGCTCCATCAGCGGTCCGGGCATTCACCTCCCCATCGCTCGCACGTTGTACAGCCTCTAGGGAGGATGCTTCCCCAGACTTCAAGATTGCACGGAACAACATGCAGCAGCATATGGGCGTCCATCGAAGCCGCTAGTCACAAAAAGGACGTCGTCATCTGGGAAGCTATGGCTTTTGACAGAGGCCGATAATGGTTCAGTCTCGGGTTCTTGCTAGGTATAGATGGCACAACTCAAAATTGAAAACCCTTGCAGATTTGCAAATGGCGGACTAGCGTGCTATATTTAAACCAGAAGGCTGCAACCAGTGCGGCGGTAGTACATGCAAATAGGCGAAACAAATCACATTCCTGGCAAAGTCCCAAGGTTCGGCAGAGTGACCACTTCAGGGAAAGCCTCAAAACGTAAGAACTCGAACGCAAGAAACTCCATTACACAAAACCCAGCTTCTCCCATCAATAGTTGCTTCAGGGTTCTTGACATCCCAGCCTTCTTGACGTTCGAAATGGCGCGCTGTGCAAGGCCTTCTGGATTGAAGCATTCCTGCCATAGGCGGGATACTTGAATCATGGCCAATTGTAATAAACGCTTCGTTACACCTTGATGCTAGCAGTACTTGGAAAGCCGTCTCATACTTCTCACCGCTGTCGTCCACAACTTGTCAGAGCTAGTCTCCCCAGTCTCCCTATCTCCTCTGCTGTTTGGGTTTTCAACTCGTCGGGCGTCTTTGGGAAAAGCACCACAGACTTGACGCCAAGCTTGACCGCCTCGGAGTGTAGTGAAGGCAGTGAAGGATAAGTCCGAGACTTGAGGCGAGTGTGCTGGTGCGTTGTCATCGGTCTCAATGCTTCTAGCTTGGAGGCCATCGCTCTTAAGTTGGAGGGCATTGCTATTAGGTTGGAGGCCATCGCCAGTGTTTGGAGGCTCCTTGCCTCTTCGACTTCTCGGAGGAGCCCCGTATCCACCTCAAGCGTCACCCCCGGCAGCTACATTGGACATGCATTTCACATCACTTCCATCACAGGAGGAGCCCCTAGTAGCTTCTTGTTCCTAGTAGTATGGCCAGGAGCCCCTAGTAGCGTCCTTGCTCCTAGTAGCGATGCCAGGAGCCCCTAGTACCGTCCTTGCTCCTAGTAGTATGGCCAGGAATGCTGAGCGTTCCCATTTTCCTGGGCCCTAAGCTCCGACTCGAGAAACTCCAGGCATTGAGCTGATGGGGATGTCATCCGTGCCCTGGCTTTGGGGATGAACAAGGATTGGGTGTCGATCCTTTCGGACTCATCACCCTTCCTCGTGCACAAAAATGGGCAGAATGAAGTTGGCTGGCGTCAGCCTCAGTGTCAAAAAGCCACGGGTGTTTGTGATATATTACAGTACTAAAACTTATTATAGTTACTGTAGTTATATAAAACATGTTGGAACATACTCCATTCATCTCCATTCTTGAGGTGCAAAGTCTCTCCGCTCTGGGATGCTCTGAGTGCATCACCTGGTTTCGGAAAACATATTCCGCTGCGCTGCTGATCGTCGATTTCGGCGAGGCCTGTCATTTAGGCGGGCAATTTCGCTGTGATCAAAACAAAGTTTGATCAAAGAATTTGGCCAATTTCCTGCCTCTTGCGGATGCTCATGGGATGTGGCTCAGGGGTCCCATCAGGGATTCGAGTGCCGGGCGGATGCTGAGTGCCCTGGAACAGTGCTTAGCATTACTGCCAGGCTACCAGCATCCAAAAAGTGGTCTCTGCGTGTTTTGTCCCCAAGCCTTCGTGGGAGGCTCCACGGTGACGGGCTGTGCTGGGGGGCTCATTGGCAAAGAAATTCCGGGAAGTCTGGCACCGGCAGTGGTGGCAGTGGTAATTCGTGTGCAATGGATAAACAATAATTAGATGGATGGATGGATAGATAGATATGCCCTGTCAGCAGGACCATTCCGTATTGTTGCAGCCCGCCTTTGTCTGCGATCCACGTCGAGCAGCCAGGGAGACACTTGTTGCAACTCCAGCCAGAGTTGCAAATGCACTGGCCTTCATTCCCATGCCACCCTTCAGCCTCAGTACAGTTTTTTCAGCTTGGTTTGCGAGAGAACCCATGCTGCACAATCATACACTACAAACTGAGGATCCATCAAGGTTTCTTGTTGGGGATGCACAGGCTGACTTGACGCAATATCGGCCAACCTGCGTGCAGTGTGTGAAATACACAAGGTGCAAAAGGTCAACCAGTTGAGGTGACAAGTCGATACAACTTTGCACTATTTGGCCTTCTGACACTTGATGCTTGAGTCGTTGGGAGGGTGAACCCAACGGCTGCCATGCAGCTCCCAGCACCTGCAGTCGAAAATTAGTGTGCTGCAGCTGCTCTCTTGTTCTCCCAAAAAACTGCCACGCCTGCTACCAGTGCCAAACGCTGGCGCTGACGCTCGGGCATTTGAGCGAGGCCTTGTCACACCTCCCAAGTCAGGTCAGTCCCAAAACTGATTTCACAGTCTATACTTCCTTTCTTCTTTCCAGTCTTATCGATCCAAGTCCTTCAACGCTTGGCCGCAAGGTCCTAGTCTTATAATCTTGTCTTATCTGATCTGGCAAACACTACAACGCTTTTGGACCTGCCTTTTAACAGCGCGGGTTGGGCTATGTAAACTCTGAAAGCTTCTTGGGCAAAAGGCAGCATGAGGCATGAGCAACAGGTTTGAAAGGAAAATGCGGCTCAAGTTATTGCAAGCCGATCTGTAGAATTACCAGTCACAAAGATCCTGACCTTCACGGCACTGACTATGCATTTTTTGCAGTTCGGAAGCTGAGGAACTAACCCAACAAAGAAAGCCTGCAGCCTAGCTACAACTCACGAGACGCTTCCAGTCATTGCACGCTTTTTGCGTGAAACCTGCTTCTTCAGCTTAATGCCTTTCCAATACGTCCACAGGACCTTGCAAACATAGTGCGCATCGGTTGGTCGACAACCCTGCACTTGTTTTTTGCGTATGTTTTCTTCTTCCTTCTTTGCTTTGTTCTTAGTTTCCCTCTCTTACCCTCCCCTTCTTTCTTCATCTCCTTGAAATGTTGGCATGATGGCATGGAAGTGCAATTAAATAAAGTGTTACTTGAGAGGAGGGAGACACGAAAGGTAGGTCAGCGGGAAGAGAAGAGAACGCGAGAGGCAGGAACAAACATGCAATGTTCGACATGGTGATTTATCCCCTCGGAGGCGACCTTTCGTAAATATAATTTCATACGCACTCTAAATGTTCAAACATATGCTCTCGAAATGCTCAAAAAGATTCTTAGGAAAACTAGACGACGAGTGGCCCGAAAGCATTTTTCATCACGCAGGAAGTCAGAGTGTGAGTTATCTGTTAAGTGTTCAGTGTGAAGTGTTAAGTCGAGTGAGTTGAGGCAGTGTGTGGGTCTCTGTATGTGTGTATCTGTGTCTGTGTGTGTATGAGTCTCTGTCTGTGTGTGTGTGTCTCCGAGTCAGTTGAGGCAGTGCGTGGGTCTCTGTGTGTGATGTGTGTGTGTATGAGTCCCTGTCTGTGTGTGTGTGTCTATGTCTGCTGCTGGTGAAGGTCTTCACTGTAGATATAGTGAACGATATTTACGAGAAGCTTATGGGGTGTGTTGAAGCTTCTTGCAAGTACATTCTTCATTGCTGTTGACTTGCTTTATGTTCCTGGCTACGATCTGGTGCTAGCTGGCCCAAGTCTATGGAGACTTGTGCAATCTCACTTTGAGCACCAAAAGGTAAGCTATGCAAAATGCACAAATGCATGGCAACCACACCGCTCTCCAGGTAACGTTTTCTTCACTTGAGATGTAGTTCACCAACCACTATACTGGTCATTTTCTCATCGACTGTCCCAAAAAAACAAAAACGTGCCCAAGTTGCTTCAGGTGACACGCAGCAGCCATTGCCTATATCTTCGCGTGCTCTCTCTGCTCAGCTCGCGGCTAGCCTGTGTATAAGGAAAAGATTCCCCGAAAATATGTCTAGCAACGTCCTTGTTGTCCTTCCGCCGAACGACGTCCGGCTTGAACGACTCGGTGTCACTCCAGGTCTAATGTGAGTTTTGTGTTAAGTGTGACGTGTTCAGTCTAGTGTGTCGAGTCCGTGTGTGGGTCTCTGTGTGTGTCTATGTGTGTATCTGCGTCTGTGTCTCTGCACAGGTGAGGGGCTGTAGACGTCCCGTGCACGTTTTCCATACTCACACTTGCATACTCATTAGGACATCTCCCGTGCAAGTTTTACTTTTGCACTTGGATACTTGCCGTTGGATGCTTTCACTCTTCGACTGACACTGGGATACGTATTGAAGTGTCAGTGTTCAAGTGTAAGTGTGGAAGCGTAAGTGTCCAACTGTACGTGTAGAAATGTCAGTGTTCAAGTGCAAGTGTGGAAGTGTCAGTGTGTAAGTGTAAGTGGTTGGTTTCCAAAATGTCTTTTCCCAAAATGGTGCACTCATCGCAATTCCATGAGGGCCCGCTTCTAAGTCTCCTTTAAACTCCAACCACACTCAAACTACAGGGATGTTAAGCATGAAGGCATGTCAACTGCAAAAACTGTGAGAGGTGTCTAGCGCGGACCTTTTCAGGGGCCTGTTGAGCTGCTGGAGCATGCTGGAGCTGTTGTTGCTGCTACTGCTGCTGCTGGTCTTGCCCATTTTTGTTCTCAGAAAACTTCAGGACGACATAGGAAGGATGCAAAAGCTGACTCAAAAGATTTGGATCTTGGATGGGCAAATGGTCAAGAAATGGACCGTCGTCTAGCGCGGTGCTAGCGCAGATCTAGCACCAGCCTAGCGCAAAAATCTCCGTCGATTTCTTGATCCTGTCCGAGTCTTACTTTTCCTGCTTGCTTGTCTTCTTCTTCTTCTTCTTGGTTGTGCATTCTTCTTCTTCTTCTTCTGCTTTGTTTTTATTTGTCTTGTCTTGCTTCTTCTTTTTGCTGCTCTCTGCTTGTTTCTTTTCCTGCTTGCTCATCCTGTTATGAAGAAATCTAGCGCCAACCTAGCGCCAATCTAGCGCTGCCTTGCTGTATCACCATAGTCTGCTGGGGGGCCCGCTTCTAAACGAAAACTTAAAAACACATCTCCAACCTTAAAAGTTTACG